TATATTAAAATATAAAGTTTTAAACTAAGACAGGAAATATCAATATAAGAACTCAATATCAAATGTTAACAAAACTGTATCTCGATATTTTTTTTTTGCTACAAGATCTTTCAAATATTATTTAAACTTTCAAATAACAAAATTATATTGAATCTGAAGCATCTACCTTACTTAATAACCTTCTTGACCGTAAAGCCGGAAATAATAGATGGATTGTAAATTAGAAGGTTGACTCTGCTAATAATTCTTTTATATTATTATTTTGGATGTCACCTGACCAATATGACTTGTACATACAATACTAGGATGTTATCCAATATGACAATACCTACTCAACCAACTGTTTTAAAATGGTGTTGAGTTTTTTTGTAATAGTAGATAATAACAATAGATCTTGTTTGGTAAGACAAGCGCTTATGAATGATGAAACTACTGAAAGCTATGAATAGGTTTTATAATATTTAATTAATAATACTGATGTCACACCTTTAATAATAATTACGGATAATGATTTTGCTGTTAATGCTACAATTGCTAATGTCCTACCAAATACGCATCATGTTCATTATATTTATCATATTAAACAAAATTTAATAAAAAACTTGAAGGGTAAAATAGGAGAATGATATAGTGAATTTTCTAAAAACTAGTATCAAATGCATAATTCAGCTTCATATCAATAATTTGATTCTCTGTAGAATCAACTTTTAACAAAATTTTCTAACTCTGCATTATATCTTAACTGTGCTCTTTTTAATGAAAAAAAGCATTGGGCTTATTGTTATATTTTTAAAATTTTTACTGCTAGAATGCAGTCAACGCAGAGAGTTGAAAGCCAAAATGCTATTATAAAGAACTCAGTGAACAGCAGTATGTCTTTGATTCAACTCGAAAAATATATTAATGAACAGATTTGTCATGCATCTACTTTTATTTAATATAAGAACTGGATCTATTCCATCATGAGTCTATGCTTACCCATGCAAGTTCTGAATTTTCTCCTGATATTGATAAATAGATTATCACCTATTTAACTCCAGCTTATTTATCTATACAAAGACAAGAAATTTCTTAGGCTATATAGTATACATCATATTTTATTAAAAGCTTTCAAGATTTAGGATTGTATACTGATTTAGATACAATTGGCTAACATAAACAGTTTGATTTTACTAAACCAACTGAACAATCAGATTCAATTAAGATTTTAACTAATTTTGTTGAAGATTCTGTAGATGTATCGGCTGTTTTAATTAAAAAATTAGTACCATTTACCAAAATCAAATTAATTTGTGAAATTTGGAAAGTTATTCGTCATAGATCATAGATGCAAAACAAAAAATTATGTTGTATTGTTTAATGACAATTCACATTTATGTATATGTCTTTGTTTAGTTCAGTGTAGTTTGGTATGCAGGCATTTTTATAAGGTTATGTCTGTTTCTAATTATGCTACCTTTCACATTATGCTTATATTGAAAAGGTGGTATAATAATGAAAAGCAAATTGAGCTAGAGTTACAAACACGACAGCATCATTTTATCTTCAGCCTGGATAATATAAACACCTTAGTTAATAATAAGCAGACATTTTCTAGCTTGTCTTTTCGATTACCAGACATTTCCTTCAATGATGTTCATGCTAAGATTAACTACTATAAAGCTTATGCAACTGTTAATGGATTGTCTAAAAAAGCTATTCTAACAGAATTAGATGCTGGTCCTAATATACTACAAGAACTTGAAAACTTTATGAATAGTTTTATCACTAAATATAAACCAAAAAGCAAGAAAAAGTAAACCACAAAAGGATTGAATGGTAGCAGCAAGATTATGAAACTACTTCAAGTTCTAGTTCCAGTGACAAAGAAAATTTTATTACTATTGAGAATCTGATAGTATAATCAAAGAAAGGCACTCTAAGAAAAAAACGGTTTAAAGGATCTAATGAATTAGAAAACAAAAAAAGATCTGGTGCTAAACAACACTCAGAAATACATAAGGCAAGAAAACTAATTCAATGTCAACAATATAATAATACTGGACATAATAAGGCTGGTTGTGAGGCATGGTACAAACAGCAGGATATTTCATACTAATATTAAGTAGGATGCTTATAAATAGAGATATTAAATGATGGATTTATAAGAATTAATTTTTAAATATATGTATTCATTAAATTAAATGATTGAGTTATATTGTTAATAGCATTGAGTCTTTAATGCTAAATTTTAAATATCATTCGTTACTCATTATACATTGCCGAAGATTAATAAGTAATACACTATTTGTGTATATATAAGTAAAATAAGGTTTGTATATATATACAACTTAGTATGGTAAATAATAAATATTATTCTGGTTATATCGACACCTTAAAATTGTTTGATATACCAGATGTCAGTTTAATCAGAGACATTTTATATTAAGTATAGAGGTTCAAAGTTTTAAAAATATCATTATAGTTAGATATTGGTATATCCAGATGTCGATATAATTAGAGTAATATGTAGTGAATTACTGCAGTTAAATTGTTAAAATCGTTAGATGATTTGCTATATAAGTAAAAAAACAGAATCTTAGTGTCACCAATCTATCAATGTTAGATTTTGTAGTTTTTTTTGATAGATTGATGACTTTAAGGTAGTTATTAAGAGGTAGATCTTAATTGGTATAGTGAATAGTGCATTCATTATTTATTATTAGTAAGGATTATCATGCTAGAAATATATATGATCATTCTATTTATAGCAGGTAATTGATTACTAATAAATTTGTAAACTAAAAATCATGTAGCATGTATAAATTACTACTTGACTTTATGTAGATGATCTTTATTTTTAATGATTTATTATATAACAAAATTATTGACTATAATTAGTTGAAGTTGTTATACTGCATTATATTGTAATTATATAATCAATCATAATATTAATATATATCACGTGATGTGGGTACATGTACCTTCAAGTACATATAAATAAATCCTTAAATAAATTACATATAAATTTATATTCAACACTATATTAAATTCTGCCAATCAGAATAGAGTGTAGCAACTTAGTATAGTTGGTAAGTTGTCATACCCTCAAGTAGCAAAACAAAAGTTCAAATTCTATTGGTAATGAAATTCGAATTTATAAAAATGCATTTGGAAGACTGTATCTTATTTGTATTAATATCTGTAACAGAGTTACACCAGTACTGTTGTATTAGGAGGCAGTGAAAATACTGTATAATATATAAGTTGTATAATAGTGAAGCTGCCAAGTAAATCCAGTGGATTGAGATATGAAAGCCTGCTTGGCAAGACCCAAACAGAGAGGTAGCACAGATCTTTGACAGTATTATCTAATGATCTAAAAAGAGGAAACCAGACGGCAGAAAAAGGAAAAACTGAATGAGATCGAAGTGTTTAACAAAACACTCTATCAACCAGGCCACTAGATGAGTAATTAGAGAAAAAGGACCCAATCATGGGTACTAAGAGTAGGTTACAGCCCTTATAGGCTATCTGAATTGGAAGTTTGAAGAACTAGAAGTAGGGCTTAATTTGGAAAACTAAAAATATGGGTTGTTAAGTATATACTGAGATTTGAGCGAACTTTGCAAAAGCACAGAGTAGGTAATAGTAGTGGCTTTAACTTGTAAGTATTTGTTCTCAGACTTAGCGTAAGTTACTAAAAATCTATATAATATATATGTAAGATATAGACTGCTCTAGTAGATTTATCACAAGGTCAATAAACTCTCTATATAGAAGTATATATTCGCTTTAAAGACTTAGCAGGCCTTAGCAGTAGATTTTTCTTTAAACAAGATATCTGATGGCATGAAGTTGATCAGAGAGTTTAATTGAGTAATTCAAATAATAGTTAGGTTGTAAGTATAGTATCTAGTATAGAATCTAGTAATAGATAAACTACTTAAATTAGATGCTCAAAAGGTACAGATATGGCTAAAATATATTTTCATTAATGTAACAAGATTAGGTATAGTTAGTAATATGCTGTTTATATGAAGCATAATTTTTTTTGTGTATAGTACGTATAGTATGTACAGTATATATAGTATATACAGTATATATAGTATATAATTAGAAATAGATCTGCATTATTATTACGGCAAAATCTTTAATACCAGGAACGGAGTGATGAATATCATGAAAAGTATGGCTTATTTGAGAAAGAAATTATGTGTGTATTTAAAATCTAATACCTGATTGGTCAGCGTAATCATAGTTGTCACATCTTGTATATTCTTCATCCACTATTAAAATCATGATCCATCTCCATTAAAGCTATGAATCTGCATTGCTAATCGATTATCCACTGTTAAAATCTCTGCTAATTCATGAATTTACACTACAAAATCTGAACTTCATCCATTGCTAAAATCTTTAACTTATTATTACTCGAATCATAAACACTTATTGATTTACTTATTTATTTAATTGACAATTCTCCAGTCAACTGAAGAATGATCATAGTGAAACGTGACTCGGTTCTATATATAAATTACTATAGATGTGAAAGTAGAAATTTTCTAGTGATTGTCCAAAGAAAACTTTTTTTTGTAC